TTATTTTTATTTTATGTGTATGAGTGTTATGCCTGCATGTGTGTAAGTGCACTCATGTAGTACAATGCCAGCAGAAGTCAGCAGAGGGTATCAGATCCCCAGAAACTGGAGTTACAGACAGTTGTTAGCCACCATGTGGGTGCTGGGGATCAAACCTGGGTCCTCTGCAGGAATGGCAAATGCTCTTAACTACGGAACCATCTCCCCAGTCCCACCTTATTTTTATTTTTATTGAGTGTTATGCCTACACATATGTAAGTGCACCTGTGTTGTGCAATGCCCACAGAAGACAGAAGAGGCTGTTGGATCCCCTGGAACTGGAGTTACAGACAGTTGTTAGCTGCCAAGTGGGTGCTGGGAATCGAACCCGGGTCTTCTGCAAGAAGCACAACAGTGTTCTTAACTGCTGAGCCATTTCTCCAGCCCCTCCAGTCCCAATCCTTTAAAAAATATTTTACTATTTTTATTTTATGTGTCTGAATGTTATGCCTACATGTATGTAAGTGCACCATGTGCATGCAATGCCTGCAGAGGCCAGAAGAGGATGTCAGATGCCCTGGAACTGGAATTATGGACAGTTGTTAGTCCTCTGCAAGATCAACCAGTGCTCTTAACCACTGAACCACCTCTCCAGCCCTGATTTTTTTTTTCTTTTTTGAGGCGGTGCTATACTGTATTCCCAGCAGGTGATTGTTGGTGCTAAGTAGGACTCTATCAGTTGGTTTGAGGCTGTCTCCTCACCTATTTTCCACCTGGTGGTTCTGCTTACTACTGAGGTAAAGTGTCATTGTTCCTTTCTTTTTTTTCTTCTTTCATGCTTGCCCACCACCCCATCATTTTTCCTTTCTAAGACATGCACTTAAATGTGCAAAATTCCTCTGAAGTATTGCTTTGGTTTTATTCCACAATTGTCTGCTACATCTTACAACACATTTAAAAAAAAATTTATCTTATTTTATGTGTATGAGTGTTTTGTCTGCATGTAGGTATGTGTACCATGTGCTTGCAGTACCTGTGGAGGTCAGAAGAGGGCACTGGATCCCGTGGAACTGGAGTTATGGATGGTTGTTAGCCACCAGCTATATGTGTGCTGGGAACCAAAAGCAGAAAGTGTTGTGTCTAGCTTTGCAGCCCAGTGTACACTCACTGGAAACCAGCAACTACTTGTCCCTGGGATCCAGACATCTCATCACAAGAAGCACAGTGAGGGCTACACTGTAACTAAATGCTCTCTGACCAAACAGCACAACCACTATGAAATACTTCCCCTGTGGATTTCTTTCAAGAGTCTGGCTTTGCACAATTGCAGGCCTAATTAAGTAATCCTAGCTGTTGTCTTCCTATGTGATGTCAGAGCTTGAAGTGTTCATGGTGGGTGGTTGGAGATGGAGGATGAACATAAGGTGTGTGAGAGCAAGGGCAAGCTGGAGCCCACAGGCCTCCAGGATTTGAGGAAACATGCGCATTGTTCTTTCCTCTGATTTTAGTGGCGTCCTGCTATATTTTAATATTTTACTGAGCCCTTCCCCTAGGGGCTAAGGACACTCACCTGGTAGAAGGCCAGAAATGCTGCAGGTCCAGCTGCTGCCTCACACCAATGACCAAAGTCCTCAGCATGCTAAAATATGGCTGCTACTGCACCTCCCTCTAGCCAGGTGGGTCTAGCCAGGTGAGGGTAGGCCCACCCTGAAATAAAACTTCTAGATAGGGGTTTTGGGAAATGTACTTCTGCCAGGTCAAGTGGTTATATCACAGAGCTACAAGGGGGCAGAAGCGTTATTCCCAAGCCCCAGAATTTGAGGGTGATTGCATGGGATCTACAAAAGAGGTGTCTTAATATTGAATGTTCCAATCCGTGAGCATGGTATACCTCTCCATTTATTTAGATTCTTTTTTACTTTCTCTTAGTAACTTTTTTTTTAGTTCTTGGTGTATGGGTCTTAATACAAATTTGCAAAGTGGATTTTTTTTTAAAAGAAGAGTCTCACTGTATAGTCCTGACTGGCCTGGAACTCACTGGGGTACAGCCTGCCTCTGCCTCTGAAGTAGTGGGATTAAAGGTATGTACCAGTACACCCAATTTGCAAAACAGATTTTAATGTCCTATTTGGGGGAACACATTTCTTTTAAAAAAAATATTTTATTATTTTTATTTTATGTGTATGTATGTATTGCCTGCATGTGTGTAAGTGCACCTGTGTTGTGCAAAGCCTGCGGAGGACAGAAGAGGCTGTTGGATTCCCAGGAACTGGGGTTATAGACAGTTGTTAGCTGCCATTATGGGTGCTGGGATTTGAACCCAGGTCTTCTGCAAGAACATTCAGTGTTCTTAACTGCTGAGCCATATCTCCAGCCCTGGGGAACAGATTTCTAATAGCTAATTTTTAAATTTTTATTTGGGGGCTGGAGAGATGACTCAGCAGTTAAGAGCACTGGCTGGTCATGCAGAAGATCTGGATTTGAATCCCAGCACCCACATGGCAGCTAACAACCATCTGTAACTCCAGTTCCAGGGAATCTGACATCCTTGTCCCTCCTCCTCAGGCACTACACGACATGGGTG